AAGCGTAAAAAAGTAACAGACATATATATTTTTACATTCCAAAACTTATGAGCAGAGTTCCATTCCCGGTATTTTTCTGTTGCACTATATTTTAAAATAGGATTCGACCACTAGGAAAGAAATAATTCCACCATGATATTCAGTCAATAAGGGGAAAAACCAGTCATAGAAATCTATTCTTATGTCTAATACTATAAAGCAAAGGTTCTTTATCTTTATTTGATCATCCTTATACCTATTTCCTGTTTCACAGACTGATGCACTTGTAACCACACATTGAGTCCTTGGCTGAGGTATGATTTTAACACAGGTTCACTGAGCTGGATTTAATGACTGATTTAACACAATAAGTCACTTTTAGCTGAATCTCCATCTCCATTAAATATAGGCTGGAATCCAAAGAGCACCTTTAGTTGCGTCCAAGAGTTTAGACATACCAGTGAGATCTTCAGACTTTTTTTTCCACTTGCTACTGTGCCAGATCACATACTGCCTTTGAAAATCCACTCTGTTTAAAAGTGGCTTACTATGCTATATGTGGGAGAGACTGAGGGACTCAGCCTCAAAACCACATTGGGTTCATAGACTTAGTTGTTTAGCTTTTTGGTAATTTTAATCCTGAGTTATCATGGCTACACAATGTGTGCAGATGATCTCAATTTCCGTTCCTGGAACACTGTCATCTAAACAACAGGAACATCATGACAAAAATCACCATATTTTTATGTGCTGGATCCAAAGGGCAATTTTATGAATTTCCAAAATATGCTATCTGGTGGTGGTACCCTCCCCTGCAAAGGTAAAAACAGGCTCTCATAGCATACAAGACACTTTGACAAGGTGGCATCAAGCCAGGTCATAGCTGGGTACCTGCTGAGGACCCTAATCCAGCAAGGCTTCTACTGACAAGAGCTCCCTGGATCGACTCCTCTACTTCACCATTGCAAAGGCATTGTGCAGTTGTTTCCATTTTCTGTTAATGTGCATGTACTGATCCCTCATGTACAAATCTCCTTCACAAACAATGTAAGCTGTATTTTCTTAGGATCCTTGCCACCCAAAACATCTTCCTACGAGCTTTTAGGAGCAGGAATATTTCATAATACTGTTTGTAAGTATCTTACAGTATAATTAAGTATATATGGACATTTTGGTCCAATATTTATAGAAAGTTGAAAGGTGGTCCAATATTTATAGAAAATGATGAATTAATACCCTTGAAAGAGATGGAAGAACATATATGTTCCACATATACCCAACAGCTTGTTTGCCAGGGTTGGACAATCACAAGCATAGCTGCTAAATTGACCAAAAGTAAAAAGGACTGGGAAGCAAAAGAGTTCAAACATGCCAGCTATTCATTCAACTTCTCAAGCCAATGCAAGACAATTGTCCATTTCCAGAGCTTCTGTGATACTCAGGACTCAATCCTATGCAATGAAGACAGAAGAGAGACCTACAGCTGCCACCATAGATGAGTGGGGTATGCACAAAATTGCAGCCTCAATTGGAAATACATTGTTTCATTTAACTCAACATTTTAAAACATTAGGTTGAAATGAAAAAATAGAAGTGTAATAACCGCAGTGACTTTGCCATTCATTATGCTTAATCTCATGAACTGTTACAAATGAGCCTAAATGTGTTTATACATTTTATTCTGTTAAAACTTAAGAATTTTGATGCATTCATATGCAAATACTAATGTATCTTGTTTCAACCATCAAGAATTTTATCCCATGATGAAAAAAGCTGTATTTTCACTTAAGAAAAGTTACATTTTCAATAGTGAAAATTGCTCAGATTAATAGCTCTTATTCAGTGTTCCATTTTAATCATGAAATGGGAAGTTCCATCTTAGAAATAGCAATCAAATTAAGATTATTCCTATCTTAATTTGAAGTTTTAAAAATAGTTCTAGAAAGCAGTCAAAAAGAAAATTTAGCGAGGAACTCTTAAACACAACATTGATAACTTTATTCTCCCATCTAGTGGCAAGAAACAGTAAGAAGCAAGGTTTCTGGGAAAAGCCTCTAAATACAATAATAAAGAGAGGCACAAATTATCTAAAATTTATTTCTATGCTCATACAGATAGCAAAACACAACTGCAAAGAAAAAAGACAGAAAACCCAAGTTTCTACTTCCAAACACGTACATTTAAGGATTCTGATTAGATTTTGCTATATTTAACTTCTTTATTTAAAAATCTCCAACCCTACTCAACTCATGTGTAATAAGCTTTACACCTATAATAAATAGGTGTAATAAAAAATGGGCATTGCATTTTTATCTATATATGTCTTACATGCAAACAATACAATGCAAGCAGAAGATGGAGAACAAGAGACAGAGAACAGCATTACTATTACCTGCTAGCCATTCTTCTGCAGGCTGCCTCAGAATCATGGTTTAAATGTTGAATTCTTGCAAGACAGCAGCGATCCATGCATGCTTACTTGAGAGTAATTTACACTGAATTCAATAGGACTCTGAAATAGGTTGGACCAGTGAGCAGTAGATTCTGGTGACTGCATTGTCAGTTGATCCATTCGCGGGGGAGGTCTGAACTTTAAAGTAATATTCCACAGGTTCAGCACCATGGATAACTCCTTAAAAGTTCAGAGCCCAATCTGGAGCAGGCAAACCTTCCCACTGACATTAGAACCATCAGCCTCTGTTGAAAATGGACATATTCTCCCACTTTGAACAACATGTGTTATTCTTTAAGTCTGCCTGTACATACATGGCATGAACAAAGAAGGTGGAAATCTAAAGGAATGTAAAATTGTTAGACAAAATGTGCTCATTGTATACAACTGGACTACACTAAGCAAGCCTGGAGGCGAGGATGGTAAAGAAACACATTGCTTGCTTTGCTCTTCACATCCTCAAAAGCAGTTACATATGCCAGCACCCTGGTAACTCTGCACCTTAGCACTTTTGATGTATATGGCTAACACAGGCCATGAACAATCAGAAAACCATTACAAGGCTCACTTCAGATCCAAGAAAATTTTGCTTTGGTATTCAGAGATCCTGCCAAATCATGCTTAACAAATGCAGCCTATAGAGCTTAATTCAGCTATATAGCTGAATAAAGCTTAATGAGATGTCTGAATAGCCAAACCATAGCTTCAGAACAACCGCTCAGCTTTCAAACTATGGTTTAACTTCAGATTTAGGGAAACCTCCCAACACTCACTTCTCCATGGTAGAATCTCCAGCCCTTGCAAATATTAACAGTGTTGGAGGACCTTGCTAAACGGGATAGGCATCATGAAGTGGTTACAAATGAAATCATAAGCAGGGCTCCATTCCTGGAAGACGATCCTGCCAGTTTTTAGGGAATTCCTCTCCTTCCTCCTCACCTGCCTCCTGCAGTGCAGCCTACCCCATTCCGCAGTGTAGCTGTGCCCCAGTTTTGGGGGTTAGAATGCCTGCCTTGGCAAAGAGGAGGCATGGAGATCTTCTTCCACCAGTCCAGTTGCAGCCATTTAGGGCTTTTCTGAACAAGGCATGTATCGCATGTTCAATCCCTGCTCACAATGTCACATTTAGACAATGTCAAGACCTCCAGTTTTGTTTTTGTGTCTAATCAGCACTTCCAGCAAGGGTTTTTAGAGCAGAGAAAATGCAGCATTTCATTGTTACAGCAAAATTGCAATGTGTTCCTGTGTATTTTCACTATTCCACTATACCAAGTGCCACCTAGATGTTCTGTAGTGAAAAGGCAGGAAGAGAAACATTGCATATAAGTGCTCAGACCTCAGTTCTGTGAGGAAGCTGAAAGCAAATACAGCAGTCAATTAATGGCCTTGTCTAGAAAAACTCTTAAATCCAGATCTAGTTCCTTTGGTAGCTCTATTTTTTAATTGAACCAAGATGTTGGAAGACTTTTAAAAGACAGCAGGCATAACAAGGAAAAGGGGATTCCAGTTAAGAGTCTGTATTCCATCCACACACTATTCACAAAAGAAAAATCCATCCCACCATTTTTACAGATGTTGTTATGCTTGGCTTTTTCTTGGTTCATTGAGCTTTGAAAGGGGAAAAGCCAGGCATGAAACTAGTGCAGTGGGAAAAAATGTGTCATTCCCCTCTTTTTTTTCATAATGAAAATGGGGTGGGATAGTGCAGGAGTGGTATACCATGCAAAGGGGGAAAGGAGTTAGGGAAAACAGGTGCTTCCAGACTAATAGTGCCGCCAATTAAAAGGAACGGTGGAGCAGTTCAGCCTTTCCATATTTTTTTCCCAGAGTACACAGAAAAGGGAAGAGATTTTTAAAAATGAGAGTAGTTGCTACTGGAAGACAGTGTCATTTGCCATCCCCCATGCACATAACCTAGACTGCAAAATTCTCTGAATAAGTCAGAGAAATTGCATCACTAAAGTCTCAAAATGCAGTCAAGTAAAACTTGACATATTTCAGGAGGCATTTGATAAGATATACACATAAGACTGTTGCACAAATCTTCTTAAAGACTGAACTTGAATATTAAATATAGGCAGTCCGAGTTATGAATGTCTGAGTTATAAACAACCCCATACTTACAAACTGCCATAAAGCCTATTAATTTTTAAAAAATTACTGCAGAAAATTGTACCACTGAGACAGGGGAAGCAAAAAGGAGGAGGAGGCCTTCAAAACATGCCTTCCTGCCCTGCCCATCTAGAGAGGGAAATCTCTCTGTCATTTCCTTGATGCAAAGAGGTGGCACTGGTGAGTTTGGGTGAGCAGGGAGCCTAGAGATACAGTTTTTCTGCTTACATGGTGGTCCTGCTCCCCTAACCATTGCATATGTGGAGGCCCTACTATACATGATCTGTACATTCATGATCTGTACATTCAACTTAAGGATGAATTTCCATTTTCTCAGGAATGGAACTTGTTCATAACCCGGGGACTGCTGGTTTGAGTTCTGACTTAATGCACAATTTTCATTCACCTGAAATTTATGGAAAGAAAATCACAAAACTTTGCACTGGATTGTGCTGTATCGTGTAGCTGTTCGAGAAAATTGTATTTCAAAGACTAATGAAGGAAAATAGTTGGTAGATAAATGCATGAATCTTTCCACAAATATGGTCTATTGTCAGAACAGAAAAAAATCAATTTCCAATAAAAGTATTAAACAAAGCAAAAACAAGAGTGAACATCATTTCTGGAACTCACAGCTCCAACACAAATATTTTCACACATCCCAATCCTGAGAAATAGTGGCAAAGATTTGCTTCTCACTAAACCAATGATCTTACTTCTTGCAGAGCTTATAACTTAAACTAACTTATAACTTTTTAGTACAGAATATCTAATTTCCTAAGCACTTTGACAATCTTACTGCTGAAGGAACAGGATGAAATGTTGTTCCATCCCCCCTACACTAATTCTCACAAGAGTTTGTTCATATTGAAATGACTCATAACCATCCCTTATGTTTTATAAGAGGAATCAAAGCCTTTATCTTACTAAAAATCTTTATGGAAGAAAGAGGAGGAAATAAAATCTGCATTAAACATGAAAGCAGGCCACTCTCTAACTGGACAACCCACAAAAAATTATGCAATACCTGCTTGGTATGAAGTAGTGCACAGGGGAAGTAATGCACATAGTGATCAAAGTTGCAGCAAGTAAAAATTGCATTTTCAAAGCCATCAGGCAATAAAGAGTTCAGCACACCTCATATACCACAGCTCCATTATAAGAGCCAGGAGGCTTCTGAGATGTTTATTTTCAAGAAGTAATTAACAGTATTGGGTAACCTTGACAAGGCTTTAATAATTAACTAAGTTTTAATCAGTGGGCTATGATTATAGTAAAGAATTTGTGGCACTTAAAACATATACCCATTATTGCAGTAATAAAACATAGGGGATTGAATCAAGACTTAAGCCTTATTCAGGTATTATCAATGTAAGTCTGCCAAGCACATTAGGAGGGGGAGCGTGCTAGGCCTTCCCTCCCTTCTCCCTCATTGCTTTCATTGGCCCCAACCCAAAGAGAAAAGCAATACAGGCTAGGTATGGTTATGCTTCAGCCACAGTGACACCCTGACAGGGGTCCCCCCAAGAATGTCAGCAATGGTTAGAGATGAGGAAGAGCAAAAGCAGCTGGTGACGAAGATGAGGAGAAACTCACTGATGGAAAGAGCACATTAAGGAACTATTGTCCCAAAGTCTTCAAAACCCTGGAGCTGACACCATCCTGAAGGGCTATGTTCTGAAAACAAGTACCTGGGTTGACTTAAGAGGTCCTCCACGCGATCCGGAACATCGATTTTCCTGCATTCAAAACATTCATGGAAAGCCTCCATGAATACATGACGCTTTGCTCTTTTCAGAATGTCCCCCTGAGAGTACCAGGCAACAGAAATATCCAATATATCCATTTTCTCATACAATGTTAACTATGTTTCCTTACATTTTAGGCAATGCCATATACAGATGCCATAATGCAGCTATACTGAAGCAGAGATACTCTCCAAGAACTTTTGGTTCAGTTTGAATTCCATTGTCTCAAGTGATCCCTGTAAAAAACCCCAATTTTAAAAGGAAGCTCGATCTTTGACAATTTATATAAGCTCTCTGTTCCCATAAAAGGGTGGCCTGCACTTTTCTACTTTTACAAGTACCTAGAATTTAAAGAATGGATGGACCGCATGAGGAAGCTAGGAAAAGTGAGAGTCAACCAACCAGCCAAATAACCTATACGCTGCTGTGAAGGAGGTGAGCTACTTGCTACCCCATTTCACAAGCAAAATCCCTTGCGCCTTTGGCTTTCCCTTGATAGCATGCCTTTTGACAGCTGCCAAGACAGCACAAAGTAAAAATGGACCCAGAGAGGATGTAAATAGGTCCATGTCCATCACTGGTGCCTGCTGCAGTTTGCGGTTACCTCCCAAGACATTGCCCAGGGAAGGCTTCCTACTTTTGACTTTCACAAATATGCAAGGCCAAATATGTTTTTAATTGCTAAAATTTTTATGCTTATAAAATAATTAAAAGAGGGATGACAAATAGTGACTGTGCTGCTTGAGCACTCTGGAAGGGCTGTCAGGGCCTGTCAGCTCAGCAATTGTGAAATGCAACTTCTGGGAGGAAAAAAAGGATAGAAGTGAGAAAACCACAGTGGCTGAAGAAAAGCTTAAAAATGTGGTGGAAAAAGAGATGACGACTGTCGGTTATTTACAGGGTGGGTTAGCATGACATGAAAACTTTCCCTATAATGGAAAGAGATGACAGAAAACCACCTGAATCAATATCGCTGGATTCATTATTCATTCACAAGGCTATCAGTTTAGCATGAGAAAGGAAAACTTGTGTGACAACACCAAAAACAAAGTATACAGTTTAGCTCACAATATGTAACTCCATGATTAACAGCTTCTGGCTTAAATACATTGACAATGCTTATTTTTGTAAAATAAAGTAGATTTTTATGGAAATCATATGTTTATGTCACACTGACAGACCCACAGATCTTTTTTAATACTTCAAAGGTGGGCTTCCACTGAAGAAAAGTGTCCATTTAAGTATTCAAGACACAACAGAGGTGACAGAGCAACAGATAGATTGTGCAGCTGGTTCAGGAAGAGTCACTAAAAATGACAGAATTACATGCTCAAGTCAGGAATATATGAACGTTTAAAATCCAATGATAGTCTAGAGGGTACAGCAGACCAGGAGAGACTTAATTCTTCAGTGCATGCTTGTGAGTAGCATTAATTGCTGATTTGCTTAAACAACTTGATTACTTCTCCAGTTCACATCCATTAGAATGCAGAAGTGTGGTTTCAGGAAAGCAGGTTTCTTCCATTTCCTTTTCTGTAAAAATAATATTAGTAATCAGAAGGCATAACATCATGGACATCATTGCAAATTCAAAACAATAAATTCATTGTCCATAACTATAGAAATAAGTAAACCCTTCCATTTTTTCTTTTTGTTATTCTCACACATACTGCATTATTTGACACTCCAACACCTGCGAACCACAAAACTATAAGTACTTTGCTGCCATGATATAACAACCAACAGAAACAGGTAAGAGCTTACTGCGAAATTCTCTGGAGAAAAACGTAGAAAGAGAGGGCATTTTCCAGTTTGCTTAGCATCTTGCAACTGGAAGACCCATCACAAGAGTAGCAGCAAGCCACAACTTGTTTAAATAATCCAGGAAGCTAACCAAAATGCATGCTTCCAAAATAGGTCAAATCAACAGTCCTCTGTTCTGTGAACTCTACTGATTTTCTCCATTCTAAAAATGAGCATCACAGCTTATTTCCATTGTTGATTTAAGTACCTAGTGTGGCTTAAATGTGGACATAAAGGCACAGTGGAAGGGCAGTCACTGACAATGGCAAAGTGAAAGAGAATGGTGAGGGTTTTCAACAGTCTGATATGACAGCCCATCATGATATGACAGCCCATCATGGCTATTTGCCCATGATGGGTTGTTGTCTCATGCAGATAAGGCCATTGGAATATTTCATATTTTATGAACACAATTATGAAACTACCTACTTCAAGCTATTCAGCACTTCTTGTCCTTTTTAATTGGTATGCTTGCATGATGCCCACAAATCTGATATAGGTTGCTTCCAATCTTCTCCCATTAACAGGGTCAGGTTGAGACTTCTAAAATATTCTAGACGATGGCTACAGGAAAATGGAACCAAAGATTCAGAGAGTTTAGGAATTTATCCATTGCAATTCCAGCTGGATTAGTATAAACATGTTAATAATTTTTAAAACTATATCAGAGAGCTAGGATAAATTTAGTACTTCTTACCACTCCAAGAAATTGCATCCTCATTTGTACATATGTTAATGGTATTTATATGTGCATAATCAATGTACTTTTTATTCTGTCATCAACATTTGCCACACAAGTCTTTGCACTCATATTTAAGCATTTTTCTCCTAGAATCTCAGAACTCTTGCAACAGCCTGTGTAATAAGCTTCATAGCAAGGTTTACTATATGACTAAAATCGTTATGTTGTTCTCGTAACATATGCTGTTCTCTGCATCTCCTATAATACCGATATTCTTTTGCTTAAATACATTGTCATATTAAGCATGTATCATTGCTTCTAGCAGATACAGTAGAAATTGACTGTATATCATAGTGAATGCATTTTTCTCTTCTGACCTTTGAGTTGACCTTTGAGTTTGCCTGTCAGGATCCGAGCCTGATTCACCCCACAAGTACCTGCAGAACCAGGACAACACCGGTACCTGCTTGGAGGGATCAGGTGCTTACAATCATGCAGCACAGGTAGAAGCCTCAGAGAGATCCAGAACGGCTTCCTTGTGCTGCCCCTTTTTGCCACGGCAGCATGAGCTGTCGAGCTGGCTATTGTGTGTCCTTGCTCCTACCTTCACTCTTGTCCCCAGCCAGACCCTGCCTCGTCAGGTACCTGCACCCCATCTTCCTGACCTTGCCCTGTTTCTGATGGTGTTTGTCTCTCTGGTATCTGACCTTTGACCTATTCTTGGACAGTGCTTCTGTCTGGGCCCTGTTGTCTCACTGGTTTCTGACCTCAGACTGCTTGCAGATCTGCCTTTTGCCTTTGGCCCTTGGAACCTCATGCAAAGTCTCTGCCTTGCACCTGCACCTGGCATCCTGACTGTAGCAGCCGACTGCCTACATCCTTGCCCTGACTTTATAATTGTTAACCTATGTAACAAACAAGACCAAACTTTATCCATTTGAACTCAGGAAAAACAACATATGGGTTGGCTAAGGAGCCTGAAGCAAGGATGGCTGCCTACATAGGCAAGATTGCGTTGTACCCATTTTCTATTTCTGGTGTAAATAAGCCAAGATAAACTCTGTTTATATACAATTTCAATCCAATCCAATGTGCTGAAAAGAATTCTCTAGAAGGAAAGGCATGCTCCTATGGATTGTGCTCCCAATGGACAGAGGGCTCTGAGACTGGAGCCTTCCATTTATCCCATCCCCTAAAAGCAAGCGCTACATTCTGTGGTCTTTGGGGGCTCTCCTGGGCCCATTAAACCTGCTCTATTAGGTTTTGAAAAGTGTTTTGCTTATTATAATTATTTTATATTGTTTTATATGTCCTGTGATATCATAAAATAACTTTATATGTAAAGATTAATATTTTAAAGTGAAATTCAGAATCTGTTTTGATAGTTTAATTGCTGTGTACCTGTTTCTCAGCCCAGAACCTGCAAATTTTCACCTTGCTCTGGGAAAAGAAACCATGATCAGTTAATTGTTGGTTTATAGCCAGGTACACATAAAGATCACCTCTCAGAGCCTTGGGCAAATTATCACAATATAAAGAACAGTACAATACTTCCTTTAAACAAGTGGGGCATACAGTTTATGCTCTATCAAATTTTATCCCAGATCAAGAATAACAACTAGGGACTCAGTTAACACATCCATGTGAGCCGTCCTGAGATGCCATGTGTAAGGGACGGCATATAAAAGTTTTAAATAAAATAAAATAATAAAATCCATACAATGAGATACAAGTAGGTAGGATTAGACTTTGTCTGGTACAGCTATTTGTAGGGACACGGAGAATATGCAAGATTGTGCTACAACAGTTACCTCTTTCAAACTTAATTCCTCTCATATATAAAGTTTTCTTCTAATCAGCAACTCAGATTCCAATTATTCCTTTTGTTTCTGTTTACATTAGTAAAATGCGCAAGTTAACATCCTTACCCAGATGTTAAAACTAAGCTTTGTACTAATGAAATGGCTGGACTTGCACAACAGTTTAGGGAGGAGTTGAAAAGTGTGGACTCTGTCAGAACATTGCAAAGTACTCATAATTAGCCCCCTTGCACAAATACAATGAGTATGGGACACAGCAAGTGATTTCAAACCCCACAAAATCATTAAATGTATTCAAAATAATGTGTGTTGAGGCAATGACAGAAGAATAAAACGTTCTGCTAAAAAGGTGCTAATTTACAGCACCTTTCCAGCACACTCATTTTTTTTTTGCAAAAATGCACCAATTCACATACTGGTTAATGTACTACATACCCAAACAGTGAACAAAAATGCATAGCTGTACTAAGTTAGCTTTCACATTTATGTTTAAAAACATTTAGGAAAACAGAGTATAAACAGGAGAAAAATTACTTTTAGCTGTGATTTTGCTTATATTTATTTAATCACTTCTTTACTAGAAACAGAATAAAAAGTTTCCCCGCATGCATTCTTTAGTGCCAGTAGCTATACCACAATAATGTTGACCATGACCCAGATTCTCCCGAGTTATCCTTGTCTTCTAACTTTACACTCTAAGTGAAGGGAATAAAATACCACCCCCCACCGTCATAAACGTTAAATAGCAACACAGATGTACTTACAAATCAGGTTCCTGTTCTTTCTGAATGTCACACTGAGGCACAGGGTAAAGGGCTTCATATGTTCTATCCACACTGGATCCATGAATCGCAAATGCATTAAATTTGTCACTGGCTGCTGGAAAATAGCTCCAAGGCAGGTGAGCTCTGCCATTCCATTTGGCACTTGTTCTTGACACTTCAAACTTTACAGGAAGTTCTTGCTATGTTAAAAAAATTACAATTATATTTCAATCCTAAAATCAATCACGCATTTCGGGGTGGGAATCATATGGTTTACTTACTTTGCATATTTTTCGTCTGCCGCAAAGTAACAACACAAGATGTTGTCCATGCCTATAAAAACATGGCATAGTTATAATAGGAATGCATTCACTTGCACATCTCCAAGCCAGGATTTATTATAGTTCTTACATAAAAATTGAAAACCATTTCTAAATAACCATCAGCAATGTAACTAAATATGAAGAAATTGTAGGACTATATGTGCTACATTCTACACAAACCCACAACATAAATATTTTATATATATGTACATACTGTATATATGATTAAAAACATATAAAAAACTATGAGGTGCTTTTACATTAACTAGTAACTGCCCAATATTTTCACTGATCCATCATCCTAACTGCTGATCACTGCTCATCATTTCTGGTTTTAGACTCTATTCAGATTTGGTCTCCTTCATGCCTGCTTCCAAAAATTAAAACTGTACACTACTGTAAGTCTCAAGCCTTAAATCAGTTTTGGACTCTGATCACTTTGTTCACCAGTTTCTCCTGCTGGTTATTTTGCTGCTACTGCAGCCACAAATGTATAGAATACTACGTGGGATTCCTAGATTCATTTAGAGAGCCAGTGTGGTGTAGTGGTTAAGAGCATGGGACTGGGACTCAGACGACCTGGGTTCTAGTCCCCGCTCAGCCATGGAGCCAACCGGGTGACTCTGGCCAGTCACAGACTCTCAGCCCAACCTACCTCACAGGGTTGTTGTTGTGGGGATAAGATGGAGGAGGAGAATGATGTAAGCTGCCTTGAGCCCTTTGTAGGAAAAAGGCAGGATATAAATGGAAAAATAAATAAAAATAAATAAACTTTAATGCAGATTTCAAAAGCACTTGCGAATTCTCCTACCATTGTAGGTATTGAGATAAGTAACATTTGCCACATGTTGTGTGTTCATGCTGTAACTAGAAACTAGTCTATGTACAGCCTGAATAGCTGGGTATCAAGTGAGATGGAAAAAATATGGAGAGCACAGAGAACTGTCAATTCAACAACTGAAAGGATAACATTGCTAAAGACTGTGTCTCCAGCACCTTTCACTGCACCTACTTTTCTCTCTTACCACTGACTTTGGATTGAAAGCTTGGCAACTGTGCACAAATTAATCTATATGTTGTCTAACCTTATCAGTTTCTATGTTACCACTACATTTCACTATCTGGCAGTTCAAACTTGCAAGAATACAGGTCAGGAAAAACTACAGATCATTGGTGGCCATAGGTCCACATTGACATGCCTCTGAAACACTGACATTTCTTTTTTAAAACATTACAGACAACTGTACAATTTTCTAGGGCACCTTTATTTAAATTACTACAATGGTGCATTTTTTCAGGCTTAAAAATACAACTAAAAACCAGTGGTGAACAAAAGGAACAAAGAGGGCAGTGGAAGATAAAGAGATAAAGCAACCCACAGTGTGTCCGAGGGTCTGTTGGGTGTTCCATGGGTTGCTCCATGACCAACCCACTGTGGTTTATTTGCATGGTGACTTTAGCATGTGATGTGACCCTGCCCACTGAAAATTTATTAACTAAAGAAACCAGATCAGGAAACATTTCTGCCAGTTAAGAGACTATTAAAGAATCCTTGCTGAAGAATCCTGACTGGAGGAAAAAGAGAAATGTGTCCAAGAAATGTGTCTTGCCCCTGAAGACTCTGTTCCTTCCCATCCGAATCCCTGTGTGGTACTTCATTATACAAATATTCAGATAACCTTTTCCAAAGGTGTTCTACTAAAGGTTTTCTTCTAGTCAAAGGCAGAACTAGCACTTACTCTTTAAAGCAGGGGTAGAGCATCTGTGGACTTTCTTTTACTATTGGAGGCTAACTTCCATCATCCACAGCCAGGAATACCAATGGCTAGTGACTATAGCTGTTATACAACAAATGCAAAAAGTCAGAGGGTCCCCATCTGTCTTCTATAGCCTCAAAACAATTTCAGGTGGAGAGACACTAACCGGAAGTATAGATTCAAGCCTCTGGTGCTAGAGTCTGTTGATCATCATCACAAAACTGAAGCACACTTAAGAACTTAAGGAATCTCTTGGAGTCAGTGTTGAACATCCAAACAAACAGAAAACTGTGTACTTTTTAAAAAAGATTTTGAAATATTTACTTACGGGCAAAGCTCCACTTCTAAGTACTGACGAGTTTGCCCATTCAAGAAGAATGCTTCTACAACTAAAAATGTATAAACCATTACTTATTTCATTTTAAATCTGTTTTACACTTAGCAATTACTAAGTAATAGCATGCATGAGTATTCAGATGTAAGACCTACTGAGTTCAGTCATTCTTAGTCCATGGGCATTAGAACTAAAGACTTAGACTTCAATCCTATAAGCACTTACCTGGAGGTAAGTCCCAGTAAACTCAATGAAACTTATTTCCTTATAGATTTTATAAAATTGCAATATTAAAGCTTATTTTCTTCTTTAATTTTTCAGCAGCCAATTAACAGTATATATTTCACATCATTTGCTTTGATGATAGGACAACCATAAACCATTTACAGATTAAGTAACAAGAGTAGTTTTAAAACTGGTACAAGGAAGTAGAGATGATTCTTCCTTCTAGGTAAGCTTAGAAACAGTTACAGAAAATAACATTTTTTCTAACTCGTATTAGCTGTCAATCAGGTACATGCAGCTTAGGAACTCTTCATCAGAGGCCAGTGTAACTGAAATTGAACAGAACTGAGCAATCACTCACGAACTGGCCCCAAGGAAAAGCCCTAAAGAGCAAGACACTGATGTTATGAATTCCTAAAGCAATGGACCGAATGTGAAACAACCAAGGGAGCAGAGAAGGAATTTCATTCATGTGTATGAAAAAACTACAGGAATCATGTTGCAGTAGGGAGGAACAAATCATCTAGAAAGAATATATAGCAAGCATAAAAAGCAAATACCTTCTATAAGAGTATTTCTTCTTAATTTCAACTAGGAAAGTATAAACTTTCATATATTCTTTGAAAACAGAAAAAATAGGGAAAATTGTGATTCCCTCTCACACACACACACATTTAAGTTTTTTAATGCATATTTTGTGTCTAGTGTTAAAGGTAACACAGTCCAACTTGAGAATTCATGGTATACTCAGGCATGACTTCAGGTGGTTCCCTAGAAAGTTGTGCAAATTTCTTAAAACACTGAACATGTATTTGTTGAAACTATAGATACAATCCTACAGGTCACATCTTTGCAAGACAGAAGCCTCTGAATATAGAGGGTTCTGCATCTTCATTGCCCCACTAAGCAGTTGCTAGTCAGGCAAAAGGAACAAAGGAAGCAGGTTTTGTCTCTCAGTCCACTATGTTTTGCGTTTTCATCTATATAAGTCTCCTAGTCCAGGTGAAGTAGGTGCATGGGTGGCATCAGGGCCGGGTTAACAGAACCTATCAGATTCCTCATAGCATGGACTTGACTATCCCTCTCCATTGGCACACTCTTCTCACTTCTCTGAGATTAATTCCCCAAAAAGCAGCTGCCATGGTTGTTTGAAGCAGTTGCAAATAGGCAAAACATGGTTGGGTATCTGATACCAGAGTCCCCTTTCAGAAGTCCAGTAGTGCCTATAGCCTTAGAGAGTCCACTCTGAAGATATTTGGCATCCCTGAAACACACTCTTGGAACCACAGGATTGCTCTCTAAACTACACTTTGTATAAACGCTGGTATTTGGCAACCATGAAGAAAGTTTAAAATGTAAGGTGAAAGAAAGCAATTCTGATTATGTAAGATTTGTTTAATTTCGAGAAGCCAAATAAACATTCTGATTTCTCAATCATACTTCACACTGATATATTCTTATTTAAGTAAAATATTTGTTTGTTTAAGGTTTTTATAACACATTCAATTAATCAGACTGGCTCTCAAAATGGTTTGCAAATCGACCATCTAAAATATAAAACACACAACATTAAAAAACACAACTAATCACAAAATAACAGAGAGCAGTTACAAGCTACCACAACAACAATAGTAATAACATACATGATAAAAACAAATCATATCATGCCAATGATTTGCAAGATAAAAACCAATAAATATAAAATCCATAAATTTAACAATACATCAATGATTAAAATGCCAGGAAAATTAAAAGCTTTTAACCTGGTGCCAAGAGAACTACAAAGTCAGTGCCAGGAACACCTCCCTAAACAGCTGATTCCGTAACTGGGGTGCCACAGCCAAGAAGACTCTTCCCTTGTGGCTACCTTCATTACTTCTTTTAGAGGTTGCTCCTAGAGAAGGACTTCTGTAGCTAACCTGAGGGTGACAGAAGTCAGGGTACTCATAATGAAGGACAGGCTGTAACGGATATTTTGCTTAGGGCTGGGTAGAGGAGGAGAGCAGGGCAGCCTTGCAAGGAAGAGTACAATTATTGATAGCCCATCAAATATGTTTCATTTACTGCCTAGCTGTGCAAGCCTATAGTCTAGCTTATAAAAACAGAAATCCATGTTTTCTAAGGCTTTGATGCCTGGTTGCCGGATGCAAGATTTAGTGATCATAGATACAAAGTGGGTGGCTCTTCAGAAGACTGAATTAAAGAATTCATTTGAGGAACTTGATTTATTAATAGGCGCTTGAGGGAAAAAAATATTCTGACCATAGTTTGGAACTCAGTTGAAATGATTGAAAATGGCAACTGTACTAAGTGAACTGCTGGAAATCTCATTATAAGATAAACCATTTTTAACTAGACATTTGGTGCAAATTAATTTATCTGGTATGAAAGATGGAAGGTTGAAGTAGCAGCTAATAGCCTGCTTCTTGAGCTTCAATTTTATACTGCTGTTTCAGCCAAGCGTACAATTCTTCATTATATGGAAAACTTAGGATAAATATTTTTACATTCAGCCATTTTGTACTTGGATATGACATCTGACTATGAAAGTGCAGGAATTTATTTCAGTGACACCCTTTAATCATCGCCATGCATAGTGACTGCCTATTTCCATTATGTTTAACATAAGCCAACAGTGTTTACAAATGGCGTGTGCTATAAACAGGTCATCACTAGGATCTACATATTTATAATAAAATATCATAGAACATTTCTGCATAATAATTTGCTAAATCACTTCCCTCTTTGTTGAAGGGACCTTTCCTTTTGTACTTTGCAAAGTGCCATATATACCAATGGCTATATATAATAATGATGAAGTTTTCTTAGCGCTTCACTATTCTTGGCTTTCTAAAGCACAAGCTGCATGATAATTTTTTACAGATAGCTTAGCATAAATGACTTTTGGGATTCAACTTGAATAATAAGATATCTGTTTATCATAAAACCCCAGGACCTGCATATTTATTTTGTGGACAGAATTGCATGGAGAACACAAAAAAATCTAGATTCCATGGCTTTCCTTCCTGTTTAGATAATCTAGACTAGCATGCTCAACATATAAATGGTGTTTGATGGTATTTATTTAGGTCACATAAACTCTTATCATTTGCAATTAATAGCCAGCCAATAAAAATGGAAATTATCTTTTCATCCCACCATATGCTGTATACTGAAAGAAACTATGTTTACACATTTGTACCTCATAGCTGGCTTTCCTGCATTTATTCAATCAGACTTAGTGGGACTACTCTGATGGTCACACAATCTTCTTTACTAGCAGTTAAATGCTCTGGATGCAGCGCCCATGCAGGAAGAGGAAATAGCAGCAACCTTGGGGGAGACTCACAGTTTCTAAAAAACTGTATAAATAATGGTAGAAAAAACACACTGTGAATATACTCAATTGCCATGAAATATGGTGTGTGATGGCAATGAAACAATGAATCTTTAGGAAGAAGAATGGAATAGAGAACAGCCATATAGTTTCAAATTGCATTTGCTTTGTTTCTTTTTTTAACTACTAACCTCTACATGCAAGATACCTTAACCTCTATTGTTTTACTTACCTTCATAGTCCCATAGTCCATTGAATGGCTTTCCTGGTGCACCAGGAGGAGCTGGTGGGTCATTAAAAAATGGAGCAGTCACTTCCATCAATATTCCTCCATTTTCAGCTATAAGCCTTATCACTACTGGATCATGAGACACTGGGATGCTGTTCCATGTATGCTCAATTTTAAACTCCATCTACGTATTGCACAGTAATCAAAATTAATGATTTCAAATTTAAAGTATATGTAAACAGTCGTAATAATTAAAGGCAAATATTGCACAATTGCGGTTTTTATTCACAAAATGCATTTTACAGAAAATAAGTACAAATTATTTGCCCATTACTAAAGACAGACATCTAAATATCAATTAAGAAGTATTTTATTAAAAGCAAGGGATCTAAATCACACATCAGATCTTATAGCTGCTCAATCAATATTATGATTTGCACAAGTTTCTAATGAGCAAGATTAAGAACACACCCATGTGTTCACTTTGTGAGAAGAATTTCTCATAACCTCTAGAGCTGTTTAAAAAAAGGAAGCTACACATGACCTCTGTCATATAGCTAGGAAAAACAAAACATAGCAAAATGAAGCAACAAGCAAACAGATAAGAAAGTGTGGTGCATATAAAAAACTCTTTTGCCTATGGTTATAGTACAGAATCATAGCTGAACTGTAACTTAATATTCTGATTGCCCAGTTACAACCAAAACATGTGGGAGTGGCACATTATTCAAAAGAAATGAGCAAGTGAACATTACATTTTCCACTATGAGATTTAATATTAGCTATCATATGTTACATAAGAGTTAACTGCCTTTCTGGAATTCTAAACCTTTTCCTCTGGTCTATATACCTGTCTGTTCCTGCCTTTTTTTACCACAGGGTGTCCACAGTGATCACAACATTAACTTGCATAAATATGCAAATTAACAATTACCTGCCACAAAAAGTTATATTTCCACAGCAACATTTGTGTTCAATGAATGGCTTGTTCCATTGAGTAAACAAGATATGCAAGATTGCAAAGGATGTATTTTAACATTATGTAAAAAAACAAATTTCTGTTTAATTACGGATGTGAGAACCTACTTGTAAAATCATCTACATACATGCCTCTAAACACTACCCAGAGGTTCATACTGATATGCAACACAGGAGTCTCCCATTGAATTCTGTGGTTCATTAACTTAATTCTTTGTGCAGAGAGAAAGAAGTTTACCTGCAGAAGCTTTTTATGATCTTCCATGCACCATTCCTATGGGCAACTTTAATATACTTAATATCACTTCTCATTATCTCTGTATAGTACAAAACTTGGGCATTCCAGTTACTTACATTGCAAACCTCTGAACCAGAGAAGCAGTTCAAATGTTACAGTTTATAATCAATTTTCCCTAAATAGATCTACAAGCAGCAAACAAATAAATCTCTCAAGGGAAACCAAATGTATCTTAACACACACAGAGAAAAGTGTCAAAATCAGAAATCCAATGTTAATTTAACTGTAGCCCCATTAATTATTATCATCATTACATTTCTATACTGCCCATAGCTGAAGCTCTCTGGGTGGTTTACAATGAAGTATAAAAACAATAACATACAATAGATAAAAACATTAACAAGAATTTAAAATTAATTTAAAGTAGCATTGAAACATTAAAAGACAATAAAAAGAGAATTTAAAAACTCAGCCAAGAAAAAAAGGCACCTAGATAATCATGTCAGTCCCCTGACTGGGGAGTCTTTAAAAGACTCTGCAAAGGGGGCTGCCTTAACCTGGGGTCAAAAAGATGGCAATTTTGGTGTCAGGCAGGTCACAACAGGGAAATTGTTCCAAAGATGGGAGGGGGCACAGAAAGGGCCATTCCCCTAGTTGTCACCCTCCAAGACTTTTGAGGGGTTGGCACTAGGTGGAAGGCCCCATAGGATCTACTGTAAATAGGAGTAATAATGAGTAAAACACAGACAGAAGCACTAAAAGCAAGCAGCTGAAAATTTGCAAAAACTATCCCAAAAACTCAATTGCTAGGAAAGGCCATGGGGATAGAAGAGATTTTCATCCTGTTGAAAATCAGGAGTCTCAAAGTAGGCCTGATGTCAGGGATCAAGATCTTTGCCACCTGCTAATGTCCCAGGGGCCTTTTATCACCATACTCTGATTCAAAAGCTGACAGCAAAGACTGAAACCTCCCCAACCCACAAGCCATCACTTCCATTCACACGTGCCTTCTAGCTATGGGTAATGCTGCAGCAGCAGGAAATGGAGAATAAGAAATCAACGGAGGGTGTGTTGCCAGCCTACCCCTTCAAAAGCCTATGACCAACCTGCTCAGATTAGCAGTAACCTCCCTCCCCTTCCTGACACACACAGCAAATGTAGAGGAACATCATGCTCTAAAAATCCTAGGGCTGAGAAAGGAGTGATTTTTAACAGCAGAAGCCAAGATACATTTACTGGTAAGGAAATTAATTAAAAGGGATGAGCCTTCATTTCCCACCTGTGGACAGGCTTGAAAAGGTGGTTTATAACTGCCTGTTACAAATCACCCAGAAAGCTTTCTTTATTATGTTATAGGGAAATGAAATAAATAATAAGAATAGTCATAGCAATAAATGTGATTTCAGACAAGAGTTTGCATTTAAATTACACATCACTCAGAAGAAATCTCATTCTCCACACCTCCTAAACTTGCTTAGTTATCAGGCCAGCTCAACTGGAAGTCAAAGCAACATTAGCTGCAACTGCTATGGGGCATGTGTATATGCAGATACATCTCATTACATAAGATATAATTATAATATATAATTAGTTTAATCCTACATCTAATCTTGAAGAAAACCCTAGCAAATTCAACAGAATTTCCTTCTAAATAAATACATGTCGGATTGGTTTGTCACTTTAGTAACATACATCTAAACAATGCATATTCTTTCCATGTTCAGCCATTTATTTCAAACAGATTTTCAGGTGTAGCTCCACAGGGTAGACACATGCCTCCTTATGTTTTGCAAAGTGCTGGACACACCGGTGACATTATAGAACCATTAAATATTATAGATGCTTAAGAGGTGGTGTCAGGACGCTCAGATGGCTGCTACTCCTGTTCCCCACAGTTCTCTTAGCTTTACAGCACCTCCCTCCGTGTGGTTCCCTCCAGGTGTGTGGACTGCAGCTCCCATCAGCTACTTTACAGTCATACAAAAAGCCTCTCCCTCCGCCGGACAGCTGACATTCCCCCAGCTCCGGGAAGCGCCCTCTGCTTTTGACAGCTTTGTGTCTAACAAGGCATTTAACTTAAAACAGTCTTGCAACGAGCAGAGCTTGAGCAACCACAAAAGTCCTCTTAGAGTGGAACCCCGAAACAGGGAACAGCAGTCCAGCACAACCGAAGCCACACGCCGCCACCTTTAAGGACTGAGCCTCTGCGTGTCTACTCAAAAGTAAATCCTCGCTGACCCAAGAACTGCATTACTTATACGGGATTTCTTTTTCTTGTGCGCAAGGTGCTAACCTTGGTAGCCGTTTCTTTAGCGAGCTTCGGGGCGGTGACTAGCCAGGCAGGCGGCCTGCCTCCCCCATCCCTACGTCCTGCCCTGAATTTCAAACGTGCAGCAAAAGGCTCCCGACGAACAGCGCTTCCGCACAGCGCTCCGCTTCACTTCTCCACTCAGGGAAGTCTCTTTGGACTGGGAGGCAAAGGCAGAGATGAGCACGTGACATGCTAAACCAACAGGAAAACATCTCCCAGTCGCCAAGGTTCGGATTGGTGGTTGGCGCTGGGGGCCTCACGCAGCACCCGCCCCCGTTTCTCCCCGCCGCTTTTTTGGCCGGCGTCGGTCGTTATGGTAGCTGGCGGCGCTGTGGCAAGTAAGTCGGCAGGGCGCGCCCTCTTTTTGTGGGGGGAAACCCGTGACTAGGCGGAGCTGGCGGTGTCGTCGCTGCGGTGAAGCGAGGAGCTACCTCCAGGTGAGGCGGCGGGGGCTCCCGCTGCTTTCTGTAACCCCGGCGGCCTTTTTAACGGTCCGCCTGCCAGGAAGTCCAAGGAAGTTGTCGCTCCGCGGTCGGATTCTGAGCAGCAGACGGTAGGCTTTGTCCTAGGCGACACCGTTGGGGGGTGCGGAATGCATAATGCCATAAAAAGCTGGGGTTTTTTCTTCTTTTGCAGCTTTCTTCAGTGACGTTTACTTATAAGTAACCCCATTGAACATCTCTGGGCCTACTGTGCAGTAAAAAGTTGCAGCGTAAATCTAGCCAGATTTATTGCCCAATTCTTGGAATGTCTGCTCTAGGAGTCAGTCTTCACTAAGTTAATTACGAATTACTCTCAGGTAAGTGCGAACTGAATTACAGCCTTTTAAATTCAAATTTAGGGATGTATATCCTAACTTCTACCATGTTTCCAGGGCAGTTTATATAAAAATCGAAACAGAATAAAAGTACAAATGCTTTAAACTTTTTATCCTTTGGCATATGGAATTGTAACTATACCAAATATAACGCCCCACACAGAGAGAGCAGGGTGTGCAGGCACCCACATATAGCAAGCACAGCCCTTTTAGTGACAGGCAATAGGTTTTTTGAAGTGGTTGCATGCTAATGGCTCAGCATCTGTCAGAGGATAAGAGAGACATCCCTGCTCACCCACCTATCCTGACCTTGCTAGGTAATGAGAGTGGGCTGATGAGGTAACAGCCACCGCTTTCATGTTCATACTCTGTGCGCTTGGAAAGCTGGAGCAGAAGTACACTGCTTTCAAGTTTCTGTGTTAAACTTTACATATACTTCTTTTGCACGTAAGTGAATCTGTGTAAGGGCTCTGTGCTAAGGAAGGGATAGGGGATATTGCAGGAGTACACTGAATCTGAAGGAAGAAGGGATCTTAACTGGAATCAGAATGCTGAAATGAGATTGGAAGGGAGAAATATTTTTAATGGGCTTGGCAGTGGGTGGTGGGATACATTGAGATTAAAGCTGTTTGTGGTGGAGTTACTTGCTCATATGGTTAAAATCACTTCAGCCAGAGAATTTTAAGTGTTTTGAATTCTTTTAGGAACCTTCTTTCAGCTAAAGGAAAGAGTAACACTGCATAAATTCTAGCTAGGGAGTATTTTTAAGTGAAGGTTAATCTGAATATTATCCTGATAGGATGAAATCAAGACTGTTGTCATTGTTTACTGTATTTATGAACCTTGCCATGCTGAAAGATGCTGAAATTCTCAAGTTTATTAATTTGGTTTTATCATATTTTAAACCCTTTTTTGTTTTTCGCTAATTCTTTTTTCCAACTACAGAAAAAGTAGCTGGAGAAAAAAGGTTGCCCTGTATTTCTTGCTAAGAATTTATTTTTTTAATATTTTGAGATTAGAAACAAATGGAATTAAATTCCTGGCATATTTGTCAGGTTTTGCATTTCTGCTGTTAAGGAGAAAATCTGTCTATTGGAAACCTTATGTGAACTTCCAGATAAAGTTACAGAATGGCGTCAGAAACTGATTTGTCAAGTAAGTTCCACATAAAGTACCATTAAGATGTATACTTTTATATATATGCATTTCCTGAAGTCTTATCTTGATAAGCTTAGCTAGTGCGTTTTTTAAGAAAAATGTGGTAACAAATTGATTTCTTATTATGTATTGATTTTTTGATTGGATATCCACATATTGATTTATTTTATGAAGTAAGACTTCCTGTATCTGCCAAATCAAATTGTTGTTCACCCTTTCTGATTTATTTTCATTTCTGTCAAATGTAGCAGTAATGTACATACTATAAAATACACAAAGACATAGAATATTAATTTGACTAAAAGCATGAACATAACAGGCTTAGTTTAAGGTACTTTAGATCTGATAAATATGCTGTTTAAGATAGTGTGATAATTTAATGTGGTTTATGAAGGTTTGCATCACAAAGTAAATTTTCTGTTTCTGAGACATTTCAGAGGAACTCTTACTGTTACTGAAAAACTTCTGATATAATTTCTTTATATCTAAATATCATTAATCTGACATGCTCTGAAAATGTCAATAGCCACTCTCAAAAGCCAAGTGTTAGCTATCCAAAAACATTTCTTATAGTTCTGTTTCACCTTCATAAAATACTTGCCAGGTACAATCTTTGTAATGTCAAAGCATGCCAAGCTGCAAATAAATGAAATAGTTGTATTGTGACATTACATTTCCTTTGCTTTAACTACACCTTTTCTTTACTATATAGCCTTTTCCTCTGTCATTCCTTAAATGTGCAACTTTTGAAAGCTATGAGTCAATATATTTGTATATTTCAGAAAACTACCAAGTCTATAAGGAAGCAGTCCAGTGGCTCCATAGACAGTATGGCCACTTTAGAACTGAGAATCCATTCCCTGATCACTCTTCCCCTACTGTGCAGCTGGCACAGTAAGAACCATACCAGCTACCTTTCTGAAATTAGGAGCTTGACCTCACAGAGGGCTTATAGGGTCTGCTCCAAGGGGCCAGGAGGAGAAGAAACTGCAAGAGGACAGATTATAAACTGATCTGCGTCCTTCCCTCCCTTTCTGAATTGCTGCCACTAGATTATCCGGAAACAGTCATCTAGCAGTAGTGCAGAGCAGGAGGGGAATGGTGGTGAAGACTGCCTTGCTCCTCCCTCACTACATGGGATGCTCATAAGGCTCCAATCTTGGAAGCTTACTGGCATCTCAGTTGAACTATGATCTAAATGAAGGTTAAGTATTCTAACCTGAAGAATTCTCTATGTGAAATTCTAAAAGGACCAATACCTAAGAAGCACAATTACGTTTACAAGATTTTATTTTCCTATTTTAAGAGCCTTTAAAAATTGAATAGCCTCACATAAGTTGTAATGATTTAGACTATAATAGAAGTAGTATTAAGTAAGAACAAAACATCTTTTATGTCTACTGCAAATAGTTTTATCAGTGCATGTAATAGTAACTGATTTCACTTAACTGTGGGGTAATGAGAGTAGCAGAATGATATGCACAAGCTAGAAGTGCAACTGATTATTGCTTGTATAGGGTAGGTTGTGGAGATTCCCTAACATTTTGTTAAGGTTCAGCTGATGTGCTAACAACTTCTATTCCTGAAGTAAACTGATCTGACCACTAGCTAGCACATGCTTTGACTGTATCTAGGTTGAATTGTTACTTTATGCTGTATGTTCAGAAGCTACAGGTAGTCCAGAATATTACTGCCAGGTTGCTCTTGGGGGCCAATTAATGAAGCATATTATTCTGCTGTTTTTCAAACTTCTTTCAGTATGATTCTGGCCACAACTCATTCGGTGCTGATGATCACCTTTACAGTTGTAAACAGTTTGGCTTAGGACTGCTTACTCCCCTGTGATCCTGCTCATCTATGGCAATTGTTTGAAGATGCTCTATCCTGCACGCCACTTCCATCTAAAATTTAATTGTTGGATATGCCATTTCTGAAGTTGTACTTAGGCTCTAGAGCTTCTCTCTTGGGAAGTCTGGCTGACTCCCTTGCTTGCAACCTTTATATGAGCATGAAAAAAGTTTATTTTAATATTTTTGGTCACCTGTATCAGGATTGTTTTAACCTGCTTTTTGATGGTTGCTAATTGTAGCTTGGATTAGATGCTATTATTTTTGAATTATATAGAATCAAGATTAAAACATATATAACAGCTATGTTAGCAAAAAAGCAGCATATAAGTATAAAAAAACTAACTTTTTTCAAAACTAATATTAGATGTTTTGAAAAAGACTGAATATTATGTAAGCTATTAGGATACAAACTTCGAAACATTACATTTATACAATAATCTCTCAACTTCTGTCCCAGACCCGAAAAATTAAAAATGGTCAGTGAACACAGTTTGAAAATAATTATCATCAAAAGGATTATAAGTCTGTCAGATAGTTTATCTTGGGTAAATTGCTAATGAAGGCAAGACCACTTCAATTTATGCGTTACTGTTCTGTTGATATGTGGATATCCAATAATCCTTTTGGCAGGGTCCTGACCAATTTTGAAAGAGAATTATGTGCACTTATGGTAAGGATAGCAATAACATAAAACTGAGAGCCAGTGTGGTGAAGTGGTTAAGAGTGTGGGACAGGGATTCAGGAGATCTGGGTTTCAATTCCCACTCAGCCATAGAGCCAACTGGGTGACTTCAGGACAGTCACAGCCCAACCTACCTTAAACAGCTATTGTTGTGGGGATAAGATTGAGAAGAGGAGGAGAATCATGTAAGCCACCTTGAGTTTCTTGAAAGGGAAAAAAAGATGAGATATAAATATAGCAAGCAAAGGCAATCCATGCATATTAAATGCTGTGATGTAGTAAGTTTATTGCATTTAAATTATTAAAAAGTATGCCTTCTTTAGAATGCCAGGAAACAGAACTGATTTAATACAAAGCTGCAATCCTCTGCATGTTTAGATGGAAAAAATATTCTTAGTAGGACCTGCTGGCGGTTGTAATACCATTTTCTTTCAACTGTGCATAAGATCATATCCTGTTTATATGTGCTGAAAGTGAAGGCTTTTTTCTTTTTTTAAGATGAGAAGCTAAGTGCTCTGCTCAGACAGTCTCCAAGAGAAACTCTTCCAATGACTGCCTCAGTACAGGTAAACAGGGCTTGCTTGAATTCTGATATGGGAATTAATCACAATAGTGATATAATCTATCAAGACAGATATTGAAGCTGTTCTTATTTTTCACATGCTGTAATGTGCACTAATTTACAGTCTTTGCATTTAATACGCAATGGCTGGATTTCCCCAGTCTCCATTCACAGTAAGGTTTTTCTGTTCATCCATTCCTTGATAAGGAGAAGATAAAGTTGCTTGTGTTTAAAGAATGGAAGTATCTACATCTTCCTATTTAAAAACATTGCCTTAATATTTATGGTTCCTGTAGTACTATAGAGTAAAATCTAAGCCAAAGTTTCTACTATGTGTGTCTAGTTTAGTCAGTATAATAACCATGATGAATAACTGGCTTTGAATTCTTGTTGTTAGTCGCAAAGTCGTGTCTGACCCATCACAACCCCATGGACAACATTCCTCCAGGCCTTCCTGTCCTCCACCATCCCCTGGAGTCCACTTAAGCTCACACTGACTACTTCAGTGACTCCATCTAGCCACCTCATTCTCTACTGTCCTCTTCTTATCCCTTCACAAATTCAGCTTTCCTTCTATCCTACCTTCTTTAAGTACCATATATGTTATGATTGTTCAGTTAGACAAATTATACCTTGCAGAATAAGTATTTAATCCCAATCCTGAGCCAGAAACCAAGGTTTAAACTACATTATGGTTTGCACAAACCAAACAGGGATTGAATTGAAGCATGTAGATGGATGGAGGAGCACAAAAGGATAGTCATTATCCTCAATGACTAATCCATGGTTTGGAAATTAGATATAAACTCTTGCTATTGATCCTAATAGATTGAATAGAAATTGTTGGAGTAATAAGTACACATTTTGATAATATTTCAAGTTATTCATTATACCCTGTTAGATACATTATTGGTTGAAACAAATCTCCAGAAGTACTGAAATGACATAGATCATATTAGTGCAAAAATGGAATCAGCGGGGTATAATTAAGCCCATGTTAAAGGGTTTATATATGTTTATATGAAATAGTTTCTATGCTTTTTATAAAGCTCCAAGTTTTCATCATGCTTCTCTTGTATTCCTCTCTCTGTGTGACAGCATATAAATTAATTGAAATTGCTTTGTTTCAGAAAAATACCCTTGAAGCAGATAATGCAATGGAATCCTGGTTGCTGGACCAAAGGTGAGAAGGGTTTTCTAGTGTAATTAAAAGTAAATCAGTAACATTTAACATGAATTTTAACTATTATGTTACTTCATCATAAACTTTTTCAATGCTTGATTTTTTTACAAATAAAAAGATACATTATTAAGATGAGTGATAAATACTTTATGTGAAAGCAAAGCTTTGCTGGTGCAGATTGTGCTATAAATTATACCTCTATTAAGTCTACTTAATTTTGTGGTTCTAGATTCCATTTTAATCTTACCAAATAATTCTAAACTTGGTAGGACATACCTTGAAATAGATATGGTTTGATCAAGCTGTAAGATTTTTAACAGGCAAGCAGAAAATGATATCTGTGTTTTTATCTGAAACATCATGTGGGCTGATTCCAAGTATAGTCATACTTACAGCAGATCCAGTTTTAATCAATGGGACTTAAGCTAGCATGACTACATACAGCCATATTTATTCATATTTCTTGAGCTACTTTGCCAGTAATGATATTAGGTGTGTTTAGAAAACCTGCTGACTTTCCATTTAAGAAAAAGTTCCACAAACACTTCATGCCTTAGAAATTGCATTATGGTGAAATTCCTATAGGAGAAATTAAACAATACTGATTATAAACTGAAATAGCCTTGTGGTACCAACAGTCAGTAGACTAATCACTACATGGGATTTTTACTGGGTTCAGTTTTTGGTGTGAAAACTACCATTTTGGATAATAGTGGTTAATAGCTATGCAAAACTACTGTGTGGGGTCATCCAGCAAAAGCCTTGCACAAATTCCTAAGACTTGTTTTGGAGTATTCATTAAATTATTTACCAAACTATGCTATACTCTATAAGGGAGAGTATCCCAGGAAACTGAACAATGAGCATGAAAATAGCAGAACTGATATCTTTGAGTTGATAAGTGGATAGCAAAGAAATAGGAAGCTCCTAATGGGTATGGCAGAAGAGTGAAAAATGACACGTATCAATGGAAAAAAAACTCTCCATAGTCATGCCTATAATCTGACAAAAAATTTTAGTACCCGAGTACTGTGCTCAGGTTAATATTATGGAATACTGAGAGATTAATAGCACAGTTTTTTAGAATATTAGTGGAATGGCAGTATTCGTTGTTTAAACTGCATGCTTTCTGAATGTTCAAACAGTATGGTAATTAATGTTGTGCTTTTTACATCCATTTTAGCTTATTATCCCCTATAGTTGCTGAATATGATAAACATCTGGAAGAAATGAATGAACAACTAAGATACTGTCAGGTATGAATCATACAGAAAGCTATGCTAAATGAGTTCTTGGTATTGGTGAATATTAGTTCGAAACTTTTTTTTTTTTTTGCTGTTCACACCAACTTTAACAGTAAATGCTAAGAGCCAGTAATGTTCAGAGATGAACTGATAAGGATTTTAGTAGCATATCATCCTATGGTCTCCTGATATCATTGGAGAAACACTTCCATTCTTGGTGTTCAGTATCCAAAAAAACATGCCCCTACCCTTCCTCTTTGCAGCCAATGAAGGAAGAACCATGATAAGTGAACTCTTCTTCCAAGGTCACATTTCGGCCTTAGGGAGGAATTGAGAACAAGGTCAGGCCAGAATTGTTCTGATTCAAGTTGGAACCCCACCGCCTTTCATCCTCCTAACCAGCCTTAAATCTAGATTGCTGAAAATACCCATCTAGATAAAAGGTAAGGCACAGGGCACAGCTGTGGCAGAAATTGCTGCCTCCATACTTTGAACCTTGCATTGGATAATGGTAAGCCTCTGAAACATACATGCATCTGCTTATTTATTAGTGGTAGAGATCATCTTGATTGATTTTTAATCTTACTGTATGTGGCTCCTATTCACAAGTATTAATTGGTCCTGCTTTGTTTTCCTTTAGATTCAGATGAGGGAAATGAGACAAAAACTTGAAGAAGTCATCAAAGAAAATGAAAGGTAGATGGACTGAGAAAATTTGTCAGTATTTTAATTGTTGAGATCAGACAGGACAATTTTCAGAAAAAAGCTTTTCATAAGAATATGCATTTGTGAGTTTAACTTAGTTAACTTTAACTTAGAATTGTATCTTTTCCTCGATACACATATATGTCTAGGTGAGCACAGGTTGACATGGAGGTCTGTTTTTGAAGCATCCTGTGGGCCAAATAAAATTCTTTGTGTTTACATTTACACTAAAATCCTGTGCATGCCTAATCAAAAGTAAACCCCATTGAATACAATGGAACTTACTTCCAAGTGAGTGCAAATCTTCCTCTTCCTTGCCCCCCCCCCCTTGCCCTCACCATCTTTTCCAACCCTGACTTCATAATTACAAAATGCACCTTCTGAGCCACAAATGCTCAGGCAGTTAACAGAGGTTGACATGTGCATGTGCTAAGGAAGAAGCAGTCTCCCCCCCTGAAGTGCAGTAAAGATTGTATTGCATCTCTTAACCATGTTGGTTTGGATCCAGAATTTTGCCTTCTGCCAATGGAAGGATTTCTTACTTAGAACCAGTAAAGGGATTGTTTTGGTCGAGTGGGGGAGGTGACTTGTGCTACAGGCCATATATCATCTGAAACTTGCAGACCCTCCAGAACATTTTCGGAGGTGAGCTGACCAAGGCAGATTCACACAGACTTGGAGGGAAAATAAGCTAGTGGCTTATTTCCTTCCTGCATGTGGCCTAATAGTGGCTATTTCCTTCCTGCATGTGGCTATTGTGAGCTGCCTAATTAGCAAAGTTATGCTTGACCAATCCCATTAAGGGTTGCTGTCTTGGTTGGTTTACAAGCTATCCTAAAACCCTAGAACAAACTGTGGCTTTTTCTGTTTTTATGATCTTTGAACCTGGTATTCCTGTCCCACCCACCCTCCCTCCCTCTCTCTCTCACACTCACACTCACACTCACACACTCTCTCACACACACACAAATGGAGGGAGTTAACACATATTTTCTCAGCCAAATTAGTGATGCTGCCACTAGTGGAAGACCAGTGGATCCAATACATTAAACACCTTCCACAATTTTTCATGAAAAACCACCATTGCTCTTGTTTATACAACTATAAGATACGTTTCCATATGATATTTAGCAGATATCCATTTGCTGATTTTGTATTCTCTGAAGAAATTTCCCTAGCAGCTTTTCCGCTTCTTACCTGCATAGTAAGAAGTTACTAAATTCTACAGAAAACTTCTTATTTTGTATATGGATCAGTTCTCTGCTATGTCAGGATTATGGACAAAAGAGCTACACAAATCACTTTCATGATGTACATATTTCTCAAGCAAGAAATAGGATTTCTTTTGTGCATTTACTGCAGAATATCTCCAATATGCTTATAATGTCCAAAATGTTAAAACATTGTTCTTAACTTGAAACATGTTAATTTCCAATGGATGATCCATTTCTAACATAAATGAGATTTGATTGTTCTGTTAAAGGTAATTAATTGTCCACTTTAATTTAGACTGCATGAAGAACTGAAAGAGGCTATTGAAAAGCAGCTGGACACTTTGCCATCTGGCTCTTCTTTAGGGGATGTCATGACGATGGATGAAAACTTAATAAAAAATCTTCAAGAGCAGTTACAACTAGCAAATAAAGTGAGTAGATTCAAACATTCATCCTGACTTGCTTCTTTGACTTTATTGTATGCAATGCTTAACAAGGTTTAAACAGGGAAAAAATGATGGCCAGTTTTAAATGGTGGTTGAAAACACAGCTGTCCATACATGCTTTCTCTGACCTATGCTTTCTCTGACCTATTAAAATACAACCCTATTTTATCATCATGTAATGTTTTTAAGGTATTTAATGGTTTTAATTAATTTTGTCTTGTTTCTATGTCATGCTGCATTTTAGTGCAACCTATTTAGGGATTTTAATGGCTGGAGAAAGCTTGGAATGTATGATATATACATTCCCAGACTATGTACCCTGTCTCTTAGGGCAAGTGCAACCCTGTCTAGAAAGGATAGTATCACTTAGCAGGATAACTAAAGCCACCTACCAACAGAACCTCCTTCTTGATGGTATTGAAAGCTGCTGACAGGTCCAGAAGAACCAATAGGGATGTACTGCTCCTGTCCCACTCCCAGCACATCAGTTATTACTTTTACAGTGGCGCCTTGGTTCATGAACTTAATCCATTCCAGGACTCTAGTCGTGACCCAAATTGGCTGTGAGCCTAGTTAAATTTCCCCATAAAGTTCTGTGTAAATAAGGTTAATCCGTTTTGTAACAATTTTTTTAAATCAGAAAAATGTGAAGCAAAGTGACAAAGAAAAACAAAGATCACAGCCGTCTCCCTCCCCACCCTGAGCATGAGTGCAGCTATCTTCCTGCCCCCCCAGCACAATCGTGATTGCGCCCATCATCCCAGCATGCTCGGGGGGAGGAGATGGGTGTGGGCACGCTGGGGGCAGGGGAGAGATGGGTGCAAATGCAGCCGCACTGGGGGGGAGAGATGAGCGCGAACATGGGTGTGCTGGGGGTGCACGCTCGGGGGGGGGGGTGGAGACGGGCTGATCATGCTGGGGTGGGGAGATGGCTGAGATCGCGTTTGCACTCGTGCAAGAAAGACAAGCGCCATTTCAGCCATCTCCCCGCCCCCAGCACAATCACAGTCATCTCCCTACTCAGGAGGGTGGGGAGATAGCTGTGATCGTGATTGCCACCCAATGCGAAGTTTGCCACCTGAGTCAAAAATTTTTTGAAATTTTTGTTCATGACCCGATTTGATTGTGAACTGAGGCGTTCATGAGCCGAGGTACCACTGTATTTTAATGTAAACCACTTGGGTATTTTAAAATATGTACATTTATTTATTTATTAAAAGCTTTTCTATCCTGCCCCCTACAGAATGTCTTGCGATGGCTTATTATAAATGAAGCATTTATCTTGAAAAGATTATTTTTGCTAAAAATTAATACAATACAAAATTATGTTTTTTGTTTGGATTTTTTGGGTGCAATCCAACGACCTCCTCATATGGTTTAGAGGGACAGGCTTAGGAGAGGATAGGGTTCATCAGAGTCTCAGCTCCAAGTTTCTATAATCTCAGAACTGGTGGTATGGAAAGAACTCTGCCAGCTGCTGTCCCAATGGTCACAAATGTACCTTCAAGGGGAGAAGGAAGGGCATGCTGGCGGGAGTGGGGGACAGAGTGAGGAAGAAACTGGACTGGTTACTTTGATTCCTATTGGCAGTCAGCCTTTTTCCTTCTCCTCCCATGGTGTTTTATCTAGACTGCCAAAAACAGCTGTCTAAATAGAAATCAGTGATAACCACTTTTGCACCACATACAGAGCAATGGATGGATGTAAGCTTCCAAGTTTGGAAAGGCAGGGTTTAAAGGATTGTGCCCTTAAATTTGCTTTTAATTTAAGGGCTTTAACAGTAATGCTAGCTCTGTGTACTCTTGAGTTCTGTTACACACACTTATAGTAATGCTTTTTATTCTCACAAGTAAACAATAAGCCTTGAACCCCAGGAAAGGAGAACAAAATATTAGCATTCATTGATACTCTGTTGCAGTTGGCATATAAGAATTGCAATGTAAATAATTGACTTTCTCATGAAAAATACATTCTTGCTGTTTCAATGTCTAACATGCATAAGTAAAGCAGCATCACTTTAGAAGATAATTAGTCATGTCATATTTGCATAATAGAAAATGATTTTGCAAAATATGTACTTATATTGGTTTTCAGGTTTCTGCTTTACCAATACAAACAGAAAGTAATATACACTATTATGATTTCTATTTGTATTTTTTGTAGGAAAAAGAACATGTACTAGAACTTTGGCAGACAGTATCACAGGAATTGGAGCGACTTCAGCAGATATACCAGGAGCATATGACAGAAGCACAAATTCATATTGTGGAAAGGCAAAAACAAAAAGTAACTTAATTACTTAATTATTTTGATTTTTTTTTTTTTTTTGTAAAAAATGCCAAAATTCCCTCTTTCCTATTCCTTTGAGATTGCAAAAATTATTTCAGGACTAATAGTGAACATTAGAAAGGTTGTAAAAGTCATAAGGCATATTGAAAAGACATTTGTCATACATTTGAAGATTTTTAGTTGTGTCCATCTGGATGTTCAGAGGCCGATTTCACTTTACCTGTCATTTACTTGTGAATTTTAGATATATTTCTATATCTAAAAATTATTGGTTCTGCTGAAAGTTTCACCCATACAATTGATGAAATGTACTAAGTTCACCCGTGATCTGTCAGCTACTCAGAATAGTTTGTCCATGTTTTTACCTCACATGTTTACACACACATCCTACTAGTGACTAGAATATGCCACTATTGCCTTATTTTCTTTGCATGTTTCATTTGAAATATCTGGCTGACCATCAAAAAGAATTCTGGAAAAGAACCTGTGGTAATATATGCAATATACTAGTATTCAAATGTTTAAAACATTAAACTTGAGCATTTATTTTATGTTGATAATAAATCTTTTAGATGTTAACTGCATGCTCTGCATCCTTCTTTTTAGGATCAATTGACAAGCTTTCAGCAACTAACGAAACAACTGCATTTAGCCAATGAAAAGACAGAGTCAGTAAGTGAAGTACTGAATATTATAACAATTTGAAATTGTTTTAGCTTGTTTCATAAGAGAAGAAAAAATATAAAGCAAACATGTTTCTAAAAACAGATTCCAGGCATTTTTTACATGAGGGGGGCAGTTTTTAAAATGCATATATTATAAACCGTCCTATTTTTATTAACTGCTGTATAATGTGTTCTACTTCATTTTCACCTACCTTAATTGGGTTGTTGAATGGAGAACACAGCATCCCTGTTATAGTCTAGAAAATACAGTCAGGATCTAAAATCCAGGCCAGCTTGTTATTCATAGGTCCTGAGTTAATGCTGCTTGTCTAATAGTTCTGCACAGGGCAGACTTGAACCTGCTGGCTAGTATGTGAGGAAGAGTTTGTAAGTCAGGAAGTGTCTGGTTTGGAGGGAGATTGAAATAGAGGGCCCTGTAATGCTAGTCACTAGCAGGATATGGTACGCCATGATGAAGAGAACATCTTATCAGAGTGCTTGAAAAGCTAAATGGCTCGTGCAATTCCCTCATGGAGTCCTACTCTGTCCTGGGCTGCCTGCCTTCTAAGCTGGCTGACATCTAACCTGGTTATGCTGTTGGGTGAGCACCAGCTTGATTCATAATAATGTCCCAGTCATGATGGTTTGTTCATGGTTGAGGGAGCTGATCTGACATGCGTTACTGAACCCTGGATGAATGAGCTGGCCTGTTTAGACCTGGCCAGCTTTGACCATCCACATGCTCTGCACAGTGTCAGGCCAGGCTGGTACATAAAACATAGTCACTCTGATCCACAGAGACTCCACCTTGCTCACTAGGATGGGCTCTGAGAGCCTGTGGTTGCATTTAGCATCCTCACTAATCTGAGTACTTGGAGGAAGAATAGAAAGGAAAAGAAAAGTACTCCAGATCAGTCCCTATCTAAGAAAGTTGTTGGTGTTGAGACTGGAGAGACTTGGATTTTGGCATCAGAGGAAGATGGACTGCTGGCAAGGGATGCATTGCACTGTACAAGGACTGTGAAAAATGTGTTTGGCCACAGTAGGAAGAAATTCATTAGGAGGCCTTTAAATTGAATTCTACAAGAGAAGTAGAAGTACAGTGGTGCCTCGGCTAATGAACACCTTGGTTCATGACCAAATTGGGTCACGAACAAAAGTTTCATGAAAATTTTGATGTGGGTTGCGAACTCCGCATTGGCGGGCAACCAAGATCGCAGCCATCTCCCCCCCCCCCCACCTTCGAGTGGGGAGATGACCATGATCACAGTTGCGTTCATGCAGGGAAGACATGCATGATCACAGGTGCTCTCCTGCAGGAAAGCCCATCTCTCTTTCTCCCAGTGTGCCCACGATTGCACCCGTCTCTCCCCCCACCCCCCAAAGCACACCGGGATGACGGACACATGCAGTTATGACAGGCTCAATCTCGGTTGTGTTGTGGGGGCGGGGAGATGGCCACGCTTGTGCTCGGGGGGGGGGGGATGGCCACGATCATTGTTGTTCTTTGTCACTTTGCTTCACATTTTTCTGATTAAAAAAAAAATGGTTATAGAACGGATTAACCTTATTTACATTGAACCTTATGGGGAAATTTAACTTGGCTCATGACCAATTTGAGTCACGACCAGAGTCGTGGAACGGATTAAGTTCGTGAACCAAGGTACCACTGTAATAATGGGCAAAGGCTTATATACCATAACTGAGAGATCAGCTGTAATAGTGCTGTTAAAAGAAAATGTAGGAAGAAAACTAGACAATAAAGTGTGTGGTCTTTGATGTCTTTATACTAATGTTCAGAGTATGAGAAGCAAACAACATGAACTCCTTAATACAGGAGGGTGAATATGATTATAGGTATAAATGAAACTTGGTGGGATGACCCCCATGACTGGAATTCTGCAATTGAAAGACATAGCTTGTTCAAGAAGAACAGAAGGGGAGCTGGAGTTACACTATATATTAAACTTGAATATCTCTGCACAGAAATAGGGGAGGATGAGCTTAGTAGCTCCACTGAGACCATCAGGATTAAAATAAATGGAGCAAGGAATAAAAGGAACATGATGGTCAGTCTACTATTGACTACCCAGTCAAGAAGAGGAAAAGGATAAAATGTTTGAAAAGCAAATTGCTAGTGTTTCAAGCTTGCATGATAGAATACTAATAGGGTACTTCAATTTTTTTGATACCTGTTGGGAGAGAAATTCCATAAAGTGTGGCCCCTCCAGGAGATCATGTTCATGACTTTCTCCTATAGAACATGGAGGAAGGGACTAGAAGATTAGAATCTAGTGAAGCATAGTCAATCAAGCGGGAAGACCTAATATATAAAATTACAGTTACAGGAATTCTGTGGGTAAGTGACCATGTCATACCTGAATTCTTGATTCTAAAGGAAGCAAAAGCTGAATGTAGCTAGGTGTATACCTGGAATTTCAGGAAAGCCAGTCTTAATAAATTCAGAGCAATAATAAGTAAGGTCCCATGGCAAGTGAGTCTGATGAGAAAAGAAGTCAAAAATGGGTAGAAATTTTTAAAAAGGAAAATATAAAGCTACAATTACAGACAATTCCAGCAAAACAAAAAGTAGAAGACAACAGGAGAAGCCAGTGTGACTTCACAAAAAGCTTAGAAATTACCTGAAAAAGGAAGGAAGGACATGTATTAAGTGGAAGAAAGCCAGGCTACAAAGCAAGAATACAGGCAGGTAGTGCAGAATGGGACAAATGGTGTCAGGCTAAAGCTGAGACTGAGCTCAAGCTAGCAAGAGATGCAACAAAAAAGCCTTCAGATAGGTGAATACTAAAAGAGCAAATGGTAGTTCAACTATTTAATGAGGAGGCCAGATGACAAAGTGCTCTGTTCCTATTTTGGCTCAGTATCCTTCCAAGAGTGATCTATAACCACCCTTGCAAATGTTAAGTACAGGTTGAAAGACCAGGATTACACCTTGAGATTGATAGGAAAATGGCCAAGGAATGTCTCATTACCTGGAATGAGTTCAAATCTCCATGGTCTAAACTGTGTTTTAGAGTAATAAAGGAAATGGCAGAAGAACTGTTAGAACCATTGTCTGTTATCTTTCAGAAATTATGGAGGATGAGTGAAGTACCAGATGACTGGAAGAAGGCCTAATGCTTCCCTCTTTAGAAAGGGAAGAAAGGAGGACTGTGGGAACTGCAAACCTGTCAGTCTGACATCAATCCTTGTGAAAATACTAGAACAGTTATAATATAGCAATCTATCTGCAAACATCTTGAAACAATATATAGATTGCTAGAGGCCAGCTTGAGTCGGTTGCAAACAAATTCTGCCAGATTAATCTGATTTCATTTCTTGCTTGGATAACCTCCCTGATGGACTGTTGGAATGCTGTGGACTTAATCTATCTTGGCTTCAGCAAAGTTTTTGACAAAGTGCTCCATTAGTAGACTAGTTAAAAGAAAGCTAGATGGAACAATCCGGTAGATCCACAGTTGAACATAGAATTGAACTGAAACATTGCTCATCTTCTCAAACTGGGTAGAGGTAACAAGTGGGGTACCACAGCATTGTCCTAAATCTAGTGCCATTCAAGATTTTAAATAATTTTTGAATGAGAAGGTACAGGAAATGCTTATCTAATTTGCAGATGACACAAATTGGGTAGGATAGCTAATACCCTGGAATACAGAATGAAATTCAAAGTGATCTTGATTGGTTGGAATACTGTGCTGAAAAAAAAAAAGACAAATACTAAATGCTGCACATAGGAAAAAGAAATTACATATGTGGCGACAAGATGGGGAATATTTGTCTCAACAACACTGCAAATGAAAAGGATGTTGTAATTGTGCATCACGAGTTGAATATTAGTCAACAGTGTAATATAGTTGTAAAAATGGTAAATGCTTTTTGGACTGTGTTAATAGAAGTATAATTTCAAAATCACATGATGCTAATTCCTTTCTAATCCCTAGTTAGGCCTCATTTTGAGCACTCCTTCCAGATTCGGACCCCACAGTTTAAGAAAGATGTAGATGAATTGTAAAAGACTCAGAGGAAGAGAACAACAATGATCAGGGGACCAAAAACAGAGCCCTGTGAGGAGATATTGAAAATGTGAGCATGTTTAACCTTGAGAAGAGTGAAGGGAGAAATGATAGCACTCTTCAGGTACTTAAGAGGTTGTCACAAGAGGACTGTGTGTCATGGTCCATGACAAGTCAAGAGCAACAGAGGCACCAGGACCAAGTCAACAGAACTTCAGGAAAGACAGATTGCAAAAGCGGGATTTAATGGAAAGTCCAAATCATAATTATAGTACAGGCCAAGATAGGAACCAGAATATGCGTGCAGGCAGAACAAGGATATGGTTAGGAACAAGTCCAGGGTCAAGAACCAGGAGGACAAACAGAGGTGCAGTACCTTGTACAGGATGACAGGGTAGGAGACATGGCATGGTAGGATGCAAGTCAAGGCACACAAGGCAAGATGCTTGAGACAACAGGAACCAGATGGAGTAAGGGTCTGGCAAGAATCAGAAACTGAACCACACCTCGCAGGAAGCCCTGCATTACTCGGCAACATGGCAGGGTAGGAACCAGGATCAGAAACCATCAGGCACAGCAGGAAACAAGTGAGCCTGTGTTGCTGAGGCAGCATCGCAGTGCAACAGACACAGCAAGATGCAGGAGAAGGAAGGTTCAGGCAGGGTGCAAGCACAGCAGCAAACAGGAAAACCTTCACTGCTGAGGCCAGTTCTGGAGGGAAGAGCTTGTTCTTATAATAGCTCTTCCCCAAGGATTTCTACCTAACACTCATCAGTAGAATAAGAGGTCCAAACATGCGATGGTGGTGGTGGTTTTTCAGGTTCTGACCACCAGAACAGCTCAGATTCTGACACCACAATTTCTTCTTGACCATCCTAGAGTGCAGGATATGGAATAATGTGCTCAAGTTACAGGAAGCCATATTCCGGATGATCAATAGGAAAAACTCCCTGAATGTCAGAGCATTACAACA